GTGGTTCATCACTTTTTGATTAAATCTGCTTAAATGAACAGTTTTAATTGCAACTATTTTCAACAGTAAAAGGGGTTAAGATCCAAAAAGCAAGCAGATATACAGAACAGTCATTCATTTAGTGGTCAGAGAGGGACACATAAAATATGTTCAATATACATGTCAATGTTGACCCTTGATAAAGGTCTGGGCATGCAGTTTAGCTGGCCAGAAAAGGGAGATGCAGAGAGTATGTGTCATACCAGGTCACATACCATCAACAATGGGAGAGTATCTTGCCTGAGGGGTTCCCTCAGGTAAGGCACCTAGTCCCCATGTTGATGGGGACAAAGGTTGATGCCTGCATCCTGGGCCTTTAGACATAGGACCTCTTTTTACTCATTATAAAAAAAAAAGTAAAATAGTTAATAAAGACAGACACCGTGAAAAATTCATCACTGTCTCCTTATATAAATCCATTGTCAATTACATCCTCCAGTTATGTACAGTAGATCAATGGTCAATCACAATGAACAATGCCATGATGACCTGCAGCTACACTTGCTCTGTTTCTTTGCAGGTATTTGGTCATTACTGACTGTTTTGGCGGTGTGCAGAGGGTGAGGATATCCCCTTTTGCCGTGGTGTCACCCCATCCCCTCCCTGATGACCTGCAGCTACACTTGCTCTGTTTCTTTGCAGGTATTTGGTCATTACTGACTGTTTTGGCTGTGTGCAGAGGGTGAGGACATCCCCTTTTGCCGTGGTGTCACCCCATCCCCTCCCTGATGACCTGCAGCTACACTTGCTCTGTTTCTTTGCAGGTATTTGGTCATTACTGATTGTTTTGGCTGTGCGCAGAGGGTGAGGACATCCCCTTTTGCCGTGGTGCCACCCCATCCCCTCCCTCTGCTCGGCCTGCTCCCTGCCTCCCCTACTGTTAGTGGGGCGGGAAGGTAGCCTTGCGGTATTGTTGCCTGGGCAGTGTTGTTGCCTGGGTGCCATTTGGGCCATGCCCCCTAGTATTGGCTGTTCTGTCGAATTACGTCATTGGTTACGCTGTTGGTGCGGCGTGGAAGCGTGTGTCCAGTGGTGGGAGCATATAAGGGGACTGACTGGGGCTGGCACATAGTGAGGAAGTTTTCTTGGACAGGCCAGTACACAAGGCTGAGAAAATGTGTTGTTTTGAGTTTGTATGCTGTGATTGCCTGTTATGTTTTGCAGTGCGATTAGAATGTTTTGAGGTGGTTGTACATCTTTTTCTTGTACATAATGTATATTATTTAGGTATGCCTTGCTATAATATTGATTGTTAGCACTAAGTTTTGTGTACGTGCTTTTGTGAGATAGTTGTATTCGTGGTTTGACTCTATTATATTTAGCTGTCCCTGGACTACGCCAGAAACATACCACTCCTTTTGAATTGGTCAAACTATACCTTAGCATCCATACAGTCTGAAGTGTAGTGTCTACTTTGTGTTAGCATATGTAATTGTGGAATATGTGACATGGTTGATTCAGATGGTCACGTATCTTCTATAGTGATTTATGTGCCTGGCAATTATAAAGGTTTGAGATCTGGAAACCCCCTCGACTTACAAGCTATATCCTTTTTTTTCTCTTTCTGTTAGGTACATATTTTTGGCATTAGCTATGCTTTATGTGACCTATCATTATTGTTTTTGCCTTGTATTGTCCAACTTCCTTATTGAAATGCATTTGTGTCACTAGGATAAGTTTTTTCTCTGCCGCCTGCCATCTTCTTGGCCTCCTCTTTGGTTTCAGTGCCCGCCCCAGGGGATCCCTCATGTTTATTTACGCACATATACTGTAGTTGATATAAAAAGTCTACAAACTCCTGTTAAAATGTAAGGTTTCTGTAAAAAAATGAGACAAAGATAAATCATTTCAGAACTTTTTCCACCTCTAATGTAACCTATAAAATGTACAACTCAGTTGAAAAACAAACTGAAATCTTTTAGGTGGAGGGAAGTAAAAATGAAAAACTAAAATAATATAGTTGCATAAATGTGCACACCCTTAAACTAATACTTTGTTGAAGCACCTTTTGATTTAATTACAGCACTCAATCTTTTTGGGTATGAGTCTATCAGTATGGCACAACGTGACTTGGCAATATTTGCACTCTTCCTTGTAAAAGCACTCCAAATCTGTCAGATTGCGAGGGCATCTCCTGTACACAGCCCTCTTCAGATCACCCCACAGATTTCCCATCGGATTCAGGTCTAGGCTCTGACTGGGCCATTCCAAAACTTTAATCTTCTTCTGGTGAAGCCATTCCTTTGTTGATTTGGATGTATGCTTCGGGTCGTTGTCATGCTGAAAGCTGACGTTCCTAGACCTAGAACAGCTTAACTTAATTTGGGGTTAATCAGAGGCACTTTAAATGATGGCAGGTGTGTACTGACTCCTATTTAACATGATTTTGAATGTGATTGCTTAATTGTGAAGACAGTTATATTGGTGTAGAGGGTGTACACACTTATGCAACCACATTATTTCGTTTTTTTTTTATGTTTACTTCCCCCCCTAAAATATTTCAGTTTGTTTTTCAATTGAGTTGTACAGTTTATAGGTCACATTAAAGGTGGAAAAAGTTCTGAAATTATTTATCTTTGTCTCATTTTTTTTACATCACAGAAACCTGACATTTTAACAGGGGTGTGTAGACTTTTTATATCCACTGTATGAACAAGGTGATTTGCCTATATATGGGATATAATCTATATGGAATGATTTTGATTATGATTTAGATTTTTATAACATATGTATATATTATACGTGTTTTTTTGTTTTCTTTGTATAGTTAGTGATCACTGCTGAACCCTCATGCGTCCTGAGAAACCAGAATAAGAGAAATGCCTTGACCCATGAGGACTCACGGCCACATTGTACAACTATATATTTGACTAATTAGTCCAGCGCAATATGCAGCATACTGTATATAAGTGGTATCAGTGAGTCAGAAGTCGCATGTATCATCTAAAAATTTGTGTATTTTTTAATGTGGATTTGGCCGAATATCCATTTATTTTAATTTAGATGTAATAGAATAAATATTTTATGAAATAGGTTGTTTCCCGTCAAGGCCAGAAAAGTCAATTGTTTCTTTCTTTTTCTTTGGTATGCATTTATTATGGAGGTGGCAACTGAGTGGTATACTCTGGTTTGTGCAGAAATATTATTATATCCAAAACAAAAAATGTAATATAGAGCAGTTTACGAATCATTAAATGTGGTGGCTGCATTAGTGTTTGTTTATTTAGGCTTGTTTCCCTGTTTTTACCTAGTGATCTAGCCAGTAGCACACCTCCAATATTAGGATGCCTACCCTCTGGATAAAGGAGCAACACCTTCGGACAGCAGCATTGTTAGTCTTGGAGGAGGGTAGTGTTAGATGAACATAAAAAGAAAGACTGCATGATCACGGAGAGGAATAATCCCTAAGAAAGTTAAAATGTTAGATAAATAGAAGATTATGGACACTTTATGTTACTTCTCGGTCTCTACATGATAGTTTATCTTATAGCTACCTTTAAATATTAATTTAATTGTACCATATTCCCAGACACAAAATAGTGCTGCAGAAATATTCAGTACCATAGCACATCACACCATTAATTCATTGAACAGGCACCTGTTTACAACATACTTTGTATATTACATCTCTTAAATAAAAATCCTAGTGAAAAGCTAATATATTTTTAAAATTATATAACTGACACAGAGCTGTAGCTGTACTCGGAATCATAAAAATCATTCATGTTTTAGAGTGCAATTAAGAAGTCATAACACTGAAACTCGTGGATGCCAGGAGAAATATAATCATTTTAAAAGGTAATTGCTGGGAGAAGAGATTTGATTTCCCACATACCTGTAATAAGCTTATAGAAGTCTTTATTTTTGCATGTCAATTGCTTGGCTCAGCATCTTGACCTGTATATAATATCCATATCAATCACTTTGTGAACACAGCATTAAAGACTTTTGGACTTCAAGTCATCCTTTTAAATAAAAGTAAGTGAATTTAGCTAAAGCCTGGAAAAAAACTCCATAGAGCTAAATGGCAGAATAATAACCCAGAAAATGCAGTTATGCCAGGTTATCTCCAATAAAAATAATTACATTCTTATACAAAAAAAAACTTACTAGATTATCTGGTTATGATCATGTCAAATCTAAACATACAAAGAGCGGACTGCTGATCTGGGTTTCACTTTGTTACTAAGGGCTCAGATTGAGGCTAAGGCTAGGTTCACGCCTAGGTTGCGGTTGATGGGTTTTCCTGGTGAATTGTGTGTTTTTGACACACATTTTTAAAAAAAATTTATGGCATTTTTGATGTGTTTTGCATTTTTGGGAGGTGTCCCGTATCATGCAGAAGAAACCAGCAAAAACGCATTGGAAATGCAGGAAGTAATAGAGAGTTTTTTTATATACTAAAATCTGGACACTGAGAAGGACATAGCCATCTTTGTTCAGATATCCAGGGTCACCATCTACTCCCTGGAATGAGATGCCACATCAGAGATGACATAATCATGTAATCCAGCCTTTCTCAACCAGGGTGCCCAGGCACCCTGAGGTACCTTAAGGTTTCTTCAGAGGTGCTTTGCCAAAATGTCTAAAAGTTGCTCAAAACGTTTATACAAGCCAGCGGGTGGAACAAGTCTGCTTCTTAGTTACACAAAGCCACAGGTTTTCATTGTACTCCATTATGACATTCTAGTCATCGATGTCCTGACAACTAATCACATCATCAGCTGATAAAGAGGATGTCAGCTGCCTGCCCCTTTCCTTCAGTGCTGGGGTCACATTAGCTCAGTGATGGATAAAAACTGAGGGAGAAGAGAAACATTGGAATACTACTCAGTACCAGTGTGCAAAAGTGTATTTACTTTGGAAGAATAAATCACCTCTAATGTTGGATGTCCTACGTGTGTGGATGTTGCTGCGTTATATAAAACTGTTAAAATAGTTTTTGACATTTTAGAATGGGGTGCCTCAAGACTATCCATAATTTTAAAGGGTGCCTCAAGACTATCCATAATTTTAAAGGGTGCCTCAAGACTATCCATAATTTTAAAGGGTGCCTCAAGACTATCCATAATTTTAAAGGGTGCCTCAAGACTATCCATAATTTTAAAGGGTGCCTCGGGACTATCCATAATTTTAAAGGGTGCCTTAACTGAAAAAAGGTTGAGAAACACTGATGTAATCAATAGGATAGCTCCAACTTTGTTCAGGCATCATCCAGGGTCACCATCTACTTCCTGGACTGAGATGCTGGCTCAGATATGACACAGTCATAACTTCACTATTCGTGCTTCCTGGGAGAGCTGAATAATCTTACCAAGACTATTGAGTTTCCCTCTTTTTGCCATGCATATTTATGACCCGTTGAAAAAGGATATGCCTTTCTAGGTTCGGGAAGGACACAGCATCCTAACACCATCATTCACTTTAGAGCTCCACTACACAGTGGAAGGAAGAGCAAATAAAGCACATTTGACCTATTTGCAAAAGGGGTAAAACATTTGCCATGAGTGCGGTGGAAAAGGGGAAGCACGTGTGGAAGCACCAATCTTCTTTTATCACTTTCGGTTTTGTCAAGCACGTTTACTAGAGCACTAAAGCACAAGGAACTATTGGACTTTATTTATGGACTATGGTTTCATTGATGTATTGTTATATGATTTTGTGTATTGCACACTTGAGTTCACATTTTGCCTGTTATCGGAGATAGGTGCATTGCAGTGCATCTTAGCTTGGGTAGCAGTTGCAATGTGGTATTGAACCTTTATTTAGAGATTATATTGGTATACAAGGGGAAGAGATACTGATGCACCAACGGGGGAGGTGTATTATAGTACCCCACTACACTTATTAATGTATGCACATTTTTGCTTATATATATTTTTTAGAAAATTCACTTTTATAAGATTTGTTTTTTATAAGATTTGTTTCACTTTCACCAGATTGATACCAAAGGGTAGTGCTTCACTATTTATTTTAGTGAACACGGCATTAAAGACTTTTGGACTGCAAGTCATCCTTTTAAACAAAAGTAAGAGAATTTAGCTAAAGCCTGGAAAAAAAAATCCATAGAGCTAAATGGCAGAATAATAAACCAGGAAATACAGTTATGCCAGGTTATCTCCAATAAAAATAATTACATTCTTATATGGAAAAACCTGTTACTAGATTATCTGCTTACCATTATGTCAAATCTAAACACACAAAGAGCAAACTGCTGATGTGGGTTTCACTTTGTTAGTAAGGGCTAAGATTGGGGCTAAGGCTAGGTTCACACCTAGGTTGCAGTTGATAGGTTTTCCTGGAGAGTTTTGTCTTTTTTGACACACATTTTTGACACTTACTATTGCGTTTTTGATGTGTTTTGCATTTTTGGGGGGTGTCCCATGGCATGCGGAAGAAACCAGCAAAAATGCAGCGGAAACTCATCCAAAAATACAAGCAATGTGTTTTTGATGCATTTCCACTGCTTTTCCATTGAATTCTATGGAACCAAGAATGCAAACAGTCGGGGGCCAAAGACCCATTCCAAAAAAATGCACCAGTTGAAAATGCACAGATGTGAATGTGACCATTAGGAAATCATATTAAAATGTAGACTGTAGTTTCTGCAAAACTGAAAATGCACTGAAAAACACAAAACTAGCCTTAGTCCTTCACTTAAAGCAAAGTCTCCACCCATCCTTCCCTTGCCAATAAACCAAAAAGAGACTCTTTATTAACCTCCTTGGCGGTATTCCCGAGTGTAGCTCGGGGTAACATTTCAGTACCAAAAGCGGTAACCCCGAGCTACACTCGGGAATACCATGCGGCACTGCTCCGGCATGTGTTCTTCACTTACCTTACCCTGCGCTCCCACGATGTGTCCCCTGCAGCGTCCCCAGCCATCTCCTCTGGCCGATGCCGGCATCCGGCTTCTGTGTCCTGTCCCTGTGATGTCGGGACGTACGGGCGCCGCCGCCGCCGGCGGCGGGAAATTTAAAAATTTTAAAAAATGTCATTTTTTTTTTTTTTCATTTTACACAGTAAAACATTGCTGTTTCAACCTATTTCACATACATATTGTCCCTAGTGCTTTGTCCTGCGCCCTGCCTGCATTTTGTCTGTTCTTTCTGCCTGGAAACTGAGAAATGTCCATGGCGTCCAAAAAGTGTCCCTTTAGGTCAAAAGCGGTTTAGATCAGCTAGAAAACAGCGATAGTAAATCAGAACCACTTACAGAATTGAGTGATAATGATTCGTGGGGGAAATTCGTCATCAGAAACTGAAAACAATTTTGCGACTGAGCTCAGCAATGTGCGAACTTGGCGCTCTATTTCACATTTCAGTGTTTTTGGTTTGATTATATTATTGAATTAAATTTTTTATTATTTTTATATTATTTTTATGATTATTTATTAAATTATAATTTATGATTTTGTGTTTCAAATTTTATCATACCCGGGATGTTTACTAGACTCTTGTTCGGACAGATTTCAGTGAGTTTTTCCTAAAAATTACAGCCTACAATAAAAAAAATACATATTTCCATGCAAAAAATGGTACCGCTTTCAGCACCAAAAATCTGAAATAATCATACCGCCAGGGAGGTTAACCAATGAGTTATTATTTTAGGACATTTATAGCTCTGTTGGGTTATAGCCTATATGTCGAGTCCTCAGTAACAAAAAAAAGTGATTCCGGATCAGAAAAATGTACAGTAGAAGGCTTCTGGGAAATAGAGACAATAGCAGGAAGGTTCACTTTAAAGTTACACTCCAGTTCAAGAAAATGTTGAAATTAAATTGGCTGGGGACACACACTTCTATCCACAGGTTGTCTAAGGTTAGCTCTGAATCCGAGCCTATGAAAATACCATGACCCTGATTTACTAACAGTATAGAGTATGTTCACATTTTTACTTTTCTCTGTGAGTGAGGTGAAACAAAAGAAAAATTCACTTTGCAAAGAATACCCAATCGTGCACAATATAAATTAAAAAACAAAAAAAAACTGTATTTTTGCTTGCACATGATTGGATAATGCACAAACTCAACAACTTCACCTCACCTAAATTATGTGAATATTTCTTTTGCAAAGAGAAAATTCACTTAGCTAAGTGAATAAGATAAAGTTGTGTTGACTTAAATCATCCAATTATGTAGAAGCAAAAATACTGTTTCTAATTTTCTTTGTACATGGTTAGGTATTTCTTGCAATGTGACTTTTATATAGTTTTACCTCATTCTCGTGAAAATTCTCTTTGCACAGTAAAAACTAACTTTGAAAGCGAACATGCTCTGTTAATACATTTAGTCCACTGTGTTTACTGGTTAATTTACTGCCATGTCTGAACACAGGAAGATTCTTGTGAAGTGTTACAAGCAGAAGCATTACATGAAAGATTAAAGTTTTCTTTAGAAAGAGAAAAGTAAGTTCAGGTGAACTGAGCTCACTGGCAGACTTTAGCATGATGACAAAACTGACTGTGAACTACTTTATATTACTTGTACTTTCTTTTCATTAGAAAAGTAGAGTTCTTAAAGTGGAAGTAAAACCTATTTTTTATGTTTTACTTACCGGTAAGCCATTATTAATTTCCCGTCTGCCCTATAGCAGAAATACTGCTACAGGGTGGAACGGATGTGCAAAATCACGTATATATATACATGATTTTGCAGTTTTGGGTAGGGGGTATGTGCCCCACGCGCACCGCCGTTCGCGGCCTCGGCTTTCAATCACCGGGTCCCAGGCGGTGTTTGCGCACCGGTACCCGGTGATCGCTGAGTAATACTGACAGGGGGAGAGAAGTGTATGTAATCAATAAAGTTATTTCCCCTGTCAGCTCCTGCACGCTGCTTTGTATGGCTCTGCAGTTGAAAGCACACACAGCACATAATGTGAAACAGCACACAGCACACAGTTAACCCTTTGATCGCCCCACATGTTAACCCCTTCCTGCCCAGTGCCATTAGTACAGTGTCAGTGCTTTTTATTAGCACTGATCACTGTATTGGTGTCACTGGGGATGTCAGTGACACCAAGTCAGTTCCTCCCAGTGTCAGAATGCCCACTGCAGTCCCACAGTCCCTCTATAAGTCACTGATTGCCACCAATACTAGTACAGAAAAAAAAACATTTCAGTATACATACCGCCATTTGTAAACTCTATAACTTTCATGTAAACCAATTAATTTACACATATTGGGATTTTCTTTTAGCAAAGACATGTAGCAGAATACATTTTGCCCTAAATTTATAATGAAATTTAATTTTTAAATTTTTTTTATTGGAATGTTTAATAGCAAAAACTAAACAATATTGTTTTTTTTTTTCTCAAAATTGTCGGTCTTTTTTTTTATAGAATAAAAACTAAAAAACGCACACGCGATCAAATACCACCGAAAGAAAGCTCAATTTGTGGAAAAAAAAGGACGCAAATTTCATTTGGGTGCAGAGCGTTGTATGACTGCACAATTGTCAGTTAAAGTAATGCAAAAATAATGCAGGAAGGGGGGTAAAACCTCTGGAGGGCAAGTGGTTAATAAGGCTTACTTGTAGGTACTGTAAATATTTCCTAAACATGCACTGCTTAGGAGATATTTACTGCAGTTCCATCCATTGAGAGAGCCATTCCGCAGCAGAAACTCCTGCGCATGTGGGGGAGTGACATCATCGCGGCTCGGCCAGTCGAACGGCTGCTGCCCGGGAACCCAGAAGGAAGACAGGTGAAGATGGAAGCCTCGGGGAGCCATGACAGAGGTCTGCTAGAGGGCTTAGTTTTCAGGTAAGTCTTTTATAATGTGCTAGTATGCATTGCATACTAGCACATTAGGCTCCTAACTTGCAGGGAGAAGTTTTTTTTAAATTTTTTTTTTTGCGTTTTACCACAGGTTTAAAAGTTTATCCATTTCCCTCTGCATTCCCAAATGTTTCCATTTCGGGTTTTATGGGGTTATTTCTTTTTTTCTAATGGAAAATCAAATTTCGTTTCCCTTGTAAAACTCCACATAACCTTTTTTAAACACATATCTAAAAAAGATGTTGCATTAATAATATTTCATTAAAAATGTGTTGAGGACTAAAAAGGGAGATTAAACAATAAAATTAAATGAAGAGATTAGTATCAACATTATTTTATCTAGTACAGTAAGTACTGAGCAAAGCCCCATGGCATTTCAAGTGCGAAATTAGGTGGAGTAGCAGACACTGAGAATACGTACATAAAGCAGACTTTTACTTGAAACAACCCGGTGTTCAAAAAGGACAAAAAATGTGACAGGCTAATACTTTGCAAACTGTTTCATTTTGTCTACATTTCTGTGCTCTGGTAGAGTTATTTCCAGTC